CGCGGCAACGTTACCGCGTCCAGTGGGCAGGAGCCATTAGATTGAAATTTGACCAATCAGAGTAAAAGTTACTGAACTTGAGATTAGTAAACTTTACTGTGAGGGTGCTTTCACATGGAGCGTAAATTGCGTAGCGTAACCTGCGTATCACCAATCACAGGGTCATTCTGATAGAACCGTTTCAATAATTCCGTTGAAATAGTTCTGTGATTGGTGATACGCAGGTTACGCTTAAGGCCAATGTCCACGATCCAAGAACTGTGTCCAAGTTCTAGTTTCAAGAAATGCGTAGCCAATCAGCTTGCAGCTATTCCATACAAGCTGCATGTTGATTGGCTGCGCATTTTTCGAAACTAGAACTTTGACACAGTTCTTGGATCGTGGACATTGGGCTTTACGCAAGTTACGCTCCATGTGAATCCAGCCTGATTGGCTGTGTTCTCCAGAAGTTAGCGCTTAATAAGCGCTTTATGCTGATTGGATAGATCTAGAAGAATAGCTCTATTTCAGCACAGATCTGAAAGTATAATCCAATGAACGCAAAGCGCTTAGCAAGCGCTAACTTCTGCTGGACACACGCATTGGTTAAATTTCAATCTAATCCCAATCTCAATCCATAGTCTGATACGGGCTCAAAGGCGCGCAAAACAGCTAGTCTCTTGGAACGGTATTAAGTAAAACGCCGGCTTGGCCGCTCTCAGGTTTCTCTCTCTGGTTATAACATGTTCTTCTCCAACGACCAATTAGATCTTTAACGGGACGTGGTCAGGTGTCATGACCTTGAAGGTATGTACATATATACTTGAGGATGGAGGGTTCATGAGGGTTCACTGAGGGACCCGAGGGTCGGATTGGTCGAAAGGATCCCACTCGACCCACTCCCATCACACACCGTGACCGAGGCAGCCGAGTGCTGCCGAGTGCTCCGACGTGGTCAGTTCGGAAATGATCCACGTGATTAAAAAACAAAAGCGATTACGTGTTACATGTATTTGGAATTGTAATTGTATCATACACCGCATGTTTATGTGTAAAGCGTCGGCGATCAGTACCAGCCACTGCTGATCGACAGTGAAACGGCCGTTTTATCGACGAGCAAATCCTTTTTGTTTTCACTGTGACGCGTGCCGCATTTATGAAAATCACAAGTCGTTATCCGGCTAACGGATCCGAAGCGTCGTACAAACTCCGTCCCTAACATGTAGTCCTCTTCGTAACGGTGGATCGTTAAATTAGGTTAAAGTAGAATAGACCAGCTGAAGCCTAGCGTGCTGCTGTACTGGAAATTTCAGCCTCAACTCCAATGCAAAGTAACAATGAGGACTCGAAGGACTATGGCCATTCTCGGGGTGGGTTTGATCCTCGCCTCCTGCGTCATGATCTATTTAATGATGGATCTGACCCTCCTCCCACCTGGACAGGGTCCTAAGCTATCCATGAGCAATGTGAGTAACGCCTTTTCACTGTGTCGCACCGTGGATTCGCGATCCAGTCGAGCCGACGAGACTGCAGTTGTACAAATGCAAAACTAAACCCGTTTTAGCTTCCTTTTTTCTTCTCGAGGCTACATCTATTCAAGTAGCCTCTGGATTTATCTTGTACGAGAGATGAAAGACTTCGTAGAGATAAATCTTAATCCCCCTTTCTTAGAAAGGAAACGTTCAAATTAAATTTAATTAATATCGCAAAAAAATACTTGAGACTGACAGTCCATGTCCGTTTGTCGATTTCGTTTCAAAATTTCAACATTTCAAGATGCGTGCAAAGAAAATGACAACTTTCCATTCTTTCTCCAGAATCAGTGGCTCCATTTCGAGAACAGACTGACAAAATTGGAAAAGGATTTTGACAAACATCATAAAGTGATGAACGCTCTGCAGGAGCAAGCGGCAAAAATCAACGACAACTTTGTACCTGCTGCGCAACCGGTCAGTCACTCTAATCGCACCGACGGCAAGGTATCGCCACGCTCGGGCAAGGGTCTCGCGTGTAATTTTAACGTTCAAAAAGTCCCCGAGGTCGACGTACAAATGCTGGAGTTGTACAAGCAGCTGGAGTTCGACAATCCGGACGGCGGGGTTTGGAAGCAAGGCTGGAACATTGTGTACGACGAGAAGCAATGGCATCCCAACCGAAAGCTCAAGGTCTTCGTCGTGCCCCATTCGCACAACGATCCCGGCTGGCTGAACACTTTTGAGAAATATTACATGTTCCAAACGAGGAGCATACTGAACAATATGGTGACCAAACTGGGCGAGGACAGAAGGCGCAAGTTTATCTGGGCAGAAATCTCCTTCTTCAAACTCTGGTGGGACGAGCAGTCGAAGGAGATGAGGGACGAGGTGCGTCGTCTGATACACGACGGGCAATTGGAGATTGTGTCGGGTGGATGGGTAATGCCGGACGAAGCCGTGTCCCACTGGGTCGCTCAGCTCACGCAACTGACCGAGGGCCATCAGTGGCTCAAGTACAATCTAGACTACACGCCCACCTCGGGATGGGCCATCGACCCCTTCGGTCTCTCCCCCACTATGCCGTATCTCCTCAAGGGCTCGGGCCTGGAGAACCTCTTGATACAGCGGGTCCATTATTCGGTGAAGAAGAGACTGGCCAAGGACAAGAATCTCGAGTTCCGCTGGAGGCAGTTGTGGGACAGCGACGGCTCGACCGAGCTGTTCACTCACGTCATGCCGTTTTACAGCTACGACATACCACACACGTGCGGCCCGGACCCGAAGGTCTGCTGCCAATTTGACTTCTACAGAATACAGAACTTCGGCCTCAGCTGCCCGTGGAAGGTCCCGCCGAAAACCATAACTAGAGCGAACGTGGCGGAGAGAGCGTTGCTCCTGCTGGATCAGTATCGCAAGAAAGCGCAGCTGTTCAAGACCGACGTGGTGCTCGCGCCTCTAGGCGACGACTTTCGGTATACGCACCTCACCGAGTGGGAGGCTCAGTACGACAATTATCAGAAGCTGTTCAACTACATGAACGAGAATCAGCATTTGAACGTCCAGATACAATTTGGCACGTTGAGCGATTACTTCGAGGCGGTCAGGGAGAAGCGCAATTTCAATCAATTTCCCACTTTGTCCGGCGATTTCTTAACATACTCCGACCGGGATGATCATTATTGGAGCGGCTACTACACCTCTAGGTAACCAAGTAACTCTAGTTAATCTCGGTAACGCAACGAGTTTCAAAGTGGAGTAAAGCTTTCAAGTAGACAAATGAAATCAAATTTGCCTAATGTACAACTTGTACAACGTACTTGATATCTGTCTTTTTGTTTTTAAACAGGCCTTTCCACAAGAGATTGGATCGTGTATTGTTGGGCTCTTTGAGAGGATCGGAAGCATTAGCCGCCATAGCTTGGGCCAGAGGCAACGATCAATTGGTAGAAGGCAGCCTCGCGTCACGTTTGAGCAAAGCCAGGATGTGGCACTCTCTGTTTCAACATCACGACGGAGTTACCGGAACCGCAAGGGACAACGTTGTCATAGACTACGCCCAGAAGATGATAATCGCGTTGAATAACTCGGCTCATGTACTCCAGCAATCTATAGCGCATCTATTGAGAACTCCCCAAGCATTATCCATGGATGTGGACGCTGTGTATTTCTCACTGGACGAAACCAGGTACCAAAGGTTTTAACGCTGTACAGTGCTGCGATATAATTGATGTAAAAACGTATCGCAGGTCGCATCACACGAGCGTAGGCGAGAAGCACGTCGTTAATCTGGGAGATGACAAGCCGTCGAGGAAAATTATCCTTTACAATTCTCTCCCGAGGCAGAGGACAAAGGTACTGACTTTGCTCGTCTCGACGCCATTCGTCCGAGTTACGGACCGACGAGGACAGGCCGTCAAGTGTCAGGTGTCTCCCGTTTGGATTGGTCCAGCTGCGTTGTCCGCGGCCAGATACCAGCTATCGTTTTTAGTCACTGTACCAGGATTCGGTATTACTACGTACATAGTTCACGCGCTGCACAAAGCATCGTATACGAAGTAAGGGCAACGCAATAATTATTCCTACCTCGCCCCCAAAAAAACCTGCGGTACACGAAAGAATAAGAGATTGTTTTCTTGTTTTCAAACAGGGAGGTGTATCTAGCTAATGTCACCATCTTCAACACTGACATAAGCGTCCCGTCGATACCCGGCTTCAGTCACTTGACCATCTTGCCGCATACGCAAGAATTTTCAATTTCCCAACGGCCGGAATTGTCCGCCTCCTTCGGCAAGTCTGGCTTGTTGAAGGCTCTGCGAGTAGGCAATACCATGTTTCCGGTGCACCTGGACTTTGTGAAATACGGCACTAGAGGCTCCGGCAAGGATAAGAGCGGCGCTTATTTGTTCCTGCCTGACAAGTCGGAACCAGACGTGGTGTTCATGGACGGCAGGGCGATCGTTCATTTGGTAACCGGGCCAATTGTATCGAAAGTATTCATAGAATTGCCACACGTGCGGCATACGTGTACGCTGTTTAATTCTCCGGGCAGCGATGGGCTCGGATTGCACATATTCAACGAGGTCGACATAACGGAAACGCAAAACTACGAGCTTGCGATGCGTTTCAATACGGACATTGCGTCCGGCGATCAATTTTTCACAGATTTAAACGGGCTCAATGTAAGTACATTGTTGACTAACGATAAATATAGCTAACTAAAACTTGTACTAATATGTTTCGGATTACTTTGCTCGTTGAAATATGATCGCAATGTATATTTTACCTGATTAATTTTAGATGATCCGACGACAAAGATTTCCCAAGCTTCCCACACAAGGCAACTATTATCCAATGGCAGCAAGCGCATATATAGAAGATAAAAGAGTCAGGTTAACGATCGCTACGGCACAGCCATTGGGAGTGGCTTCTATGGCATCCGGTCAATTCGAAGTAAGTTGGTCGACTTTGTCTCTCGCGTAAAAAAAATATGTAAAAGACGAAAGGAGAGTTTGCTTATTGTCACCAGTAATGATTAAAAATTGAGACGGGGAAACTTGTAGTCAACCCAACTGGCTAATTATTTAATTAGTTTATTACACAACGTTTCGACCCTATTCTTCTGGATCCTTTTCGAGTGATACTGCAAATCAACAACGCACTTATGAAATAATGTAGGTTAATAAGTAAAACGGCTAAAGTTGAGCAACGCACCCAAGTCAGTCATCGTCGTCGAACAAGACAGGGTCGAGTTATAAAATATATGCGTACGTGTGAACGCTGGTAGCTGGGCTCGAACTGATTGTTAGTCATGTCTTAGGAACAATACAAGGTGATATTGCGAACTATACAGTTTTAATTACACAGTCCTATATTACACTTAAGTTTTCGGTGTTTGTAAATTTAACGTGTTATCGGTCTTTTCGACACGTGTAATAAACTAATTAAATAACTAGCCAGTTGGGTTGACTATAAGTTTCCCGTCTCAAGTATGCAAAAGTTGTAACGCGTACTCACAAATTAACGGTACTTTCCTGGGAAAAAGTATATAATCATATTAAAATTATATTTGCGTTCTACTCGCATTTTTTTTTAGAAACATAGCATTTTTGTTACATCCTAATTTTTAATATCTATCCTACCTTTACGAAATAGATTATGCAAGACAGAAGATTACTTCAGGATGACAATCGAGGATTAGGGCAAGGCGTAATGGACAATCTGTTGACAAATCATATGTTTACACTAATTCTGGAAAAGAAGGAAGCGAATTGCCCCTTTGCCGTACCAACGAATCATCCGGCCGGATTATTGTCCTTAAGCGGTCATTTAGCCTCGGAAGAGTTGCTGCATCCAGTCGTGACGTTACATCCGCACAATTCTCTGCCGTTCAATCTACACGCTCACTTCTCGCCACTTCGCTACGATCTTCCAGTAGACTTGAGTATCGTCAGTCTCCGCGTGTTTCCTATTCCCGAGGGCGCCGGCAAAGGTGTCGGTATGGTGTTGTACCAGTCAGCTTTGGATACTTGCTTCAACAATTCTCTCCTGCGACACTTGAACGTTTCGGAATCCGGCGAAGTAGACCTGACGAAGCTCCTGAACGATATGGAGGATTGGACCATAAGTAAAGCGCCCCTTACGTTCCACAACGTCGGGCCGTCACTGAAATCGCCCGTTGTAAACTTGTGCCCGCATCAAATACTGCCGATATTATTTCACAAGACGCAGTCCTAATCGGAGAGATGCGTAATGTGGGGAGATGTGTCCCATTTAACCACATAAATTTTGTTTACTCAGGATTATGTAGTCCAAGTGCGCCGAGGCTGGTGGATTCGAATTGTCTAATTTATATCTGGAACAGTGTCAAGTGTATCAAATTACTACCACTTTGCTTAAAAGTGCATATAGATATATACCGACTGCAAAGTATATTAAATTCAAATATAATCGAACTATAATAACACAAGAAATCTGACGTGTGTCTGAGACGTCAATAATTCTAGTTTCGTTCCAGGCATATTAGTAACGTGTAACGGTACTCTGTCATAATTACTTTTGCCGTCGATTTGTGGAATTTATGTTTATTTATGATTTAGAAGAGCGATCCATTTGTATACCTTATTTATTTCACCTAGTAATTTTATATAGTAAACATTAGACTCGCGACGTTGAGATTTTCATGATCTAGCGTTTCCAATTGAAGCTGTGTGTAACATCGACAAACATTTGAGAACGGATGGATAAATGATGATAGATGAAGTATTTTTGAATATATAATTCGTATTGCGTGACATTACATTCTCATCGCTCCAGTCGTCCTCTATTTGATATCTCTATTCGATCTTGTATAATGAGAAATGTAATTCCTATATTTTATGCAGAGATGACCATTCGGTGTCAGTCGAAGGATGTTGTAGAATATCATTAGGATTTACGATCGTGTGAGTTGCGGATGAGTGAACTTGTACTATTCTTAATGTGCATTTAACTCGGTAAATGCGACTCAAACTTTCCGTCTACCGAGCGGAATTATATTACACGCAAGATATAGATTTTAATAGTTGCATTTAACTGATTTAACGTATCAATGAGTTAATAGAGCAAGTATACGAGCGCGTAGGGGAAAAAAGTGTTGTAATCGAATGCTCTGATACTAGTCAATTACAGACTGTGTAAAATAGTTTTGGTTACACAGCAATTTTGTACACGTATTACATTGTACATAGACACTACTGAAATACACGAAACAACCCTAGGACGTACGTATGTAAATGGCTCTGCAAGACGACCCGCTTTATATATAATGTAGTGCACAGAGTACTTTGATAATTGACGTAGCCGAGACGTAGACTTAAGAATGCTGGACTGTACTCGTCTGTATATTTATAATGGCGCTAGTAAATATTTTCCTTACCCAAGAGCGTAGAAAAATTGTATCGCCGATGGGTTGTGCTTGAAAATGGTTAAGACGACTTTCAACATCTTGTTGCGATACGCCATGGTTTCCAGTGCCGACATGATGAAACGGCCGAGACCCTTGCGCCTGACCGACGGTTCCAATTGTAATTCGTAGCTGTATATACAAACGTATATTTAATCCTACCGACTGCTGACTCTGTGCGTGCGTGCATGCGTAATCTATCGACACGAATGAAATGAAATATATCATACCAGTATAACACTACATCGCCGTTGTCAATGTCGAATCGGAAGTGCGAGAAGCCGAGATAGTGGCCGTTACGCGACGCTATTAGGTACCACGCGGTTTCTTCCGTTAGTTCCGCCCGTTTCTCAGCCTCGTCCCAGCTCCAACTGGACCGTAGATACATGTCCTTCATGTTTCGGATCATAATATCCATGATCCAGGAGAAACACTCGGGCGACGCGTCTTTCGCTCTAACGCACGTGAGCTCGATCGCGTCGTTGTCCTTCGTCGTGTACTGGTGGAATTTTGGCAGAGTCTCCAAAGGATTTTTCAGAGCATTGGCTTTATTTACCAGCTGCTGCTGCATCGCTGCCTTCTCTGCTAAGAGCTGGCGCCTCGTCTTCCTAGCCTTCTTCTGTGAAAGAAAAATTGACAAATCAATTAAGATTGCACGAGCCTTAAGCGGCCTAAGCGGTTGGACTACTGACCTGCATGATTAACGAACTGCAGATTCTTCTCTTATCTTATTTACCCCTTTGGTCGAAGAATGCAATGAATCTTGTAATGCAACAGTTAACCTTCCTCCCGGAAACGGTTATAAAGCGTCAAACTTGTTGCTTCATACAGTTTTCATCCTGTAACATCGTAAATTACATTCAACTTGAACTCGTCTCTTTCCCTCATAAGCTTCCCGCCTTTTTGTTTACGTTTTAGGTTATGTTTTCTCTCTCTCCCCCACATGACGGTATTTTGTTGTATTACACCGCGACTGAATTTTTCACGCTAATCTCAGAATCGAACGAGACAATCAATCGGAAAGAAAAACCTTATCGTCCAATCGTACAGCTATCTCATCGCTGATCCGGCCTGGCTGGATCTAGAGACTCCGGTCACTCCGGACTGTAGCGGATACGCAGGTGTTGACTACGCGCCGACAGGTGTGCGTGTCTAGCCACAGATTAATAGACAGAGATCGCCAAAGGCCCGGTGAAGTCGAGAGTGTCGAGACCACACCACGCACTTTGCCCCTTACCGACGGCTTTGTCTCTATAGGTGCGAGTCCGGACTAAATTTAGGCCACTCTGTCGATAAAGTCGGATATGTTTAGTCGAGACTCGAACCAAAAAGTGAAATTTGTCGATAAAATCGGATGTATTTAGTCGGGACTCGAACCAAAAAGTAGAATTTGTCGATAAAATCGGATGTGTTTAGTCGGGACTCGAACCAAAAGGCAAACTTGTCGATAAAATCGAATGTACTTAGTCCAGATTTTGCACCGGAGGCTGCATGAGCGCAGACGGGAAAAAGCGAATCGCGAAAGGGAAATATTTTTTCCCTCCCCTCCCGGTGAGAAATGATTCGTCGATCATTTCGACGTCGATCGACGAATCATTTCTCACTGGGCTGGGCGATGCGTTTCGACTCACGTTTGTTTCAGGTTTCAGCGTCGAGAGAATTTAAGATGCAGTTCAAAATCGACCGGAATTAATTTAAGTTGGCGCTGGGAGTTCATATTTTCGTATAAAACCTAGCTCAAACGATTGCTCCCGAATTGCTCCATTAGAATCCACAATTGCTCCACTTCTAAAATCAATAGTTTCCGAAATATTAACAAAAAACGTAAAATTTTTAATTTTCAATAAAAAACATCCGTGATCTACCAATCATGACCGACGGCGCAAGCGAGCCTGGAGATTGGCGCGTGTGTGCGACATGACAGTGTGTGTGAGCGCGAGCTGACTCGCTGACTCTCCGTGGGCTCTGCTTCGCGAGCTCCCGAGCTGTCAAGTGTCAACTCTCGACCATGTTGACAGGAGCGCGCGTGGTGACTCTGCCCTGACACGAGAGCCCCGACCGGACCCGACGAAGACCGGATGATCGGCGGGAAAAAGGAACGAGATAAAAATATATCGTCGCTCCTCGCAGAGGGTCCAAGGTTGAGATCGACGTAGATTCGGCAGGTTTACACTCGTCTCGCCCGGAGTACGATGGCGGTCGACGTATTTTCATCTCGCGTAGCTCGTAGCTGACGGTAGCTCGTGCTCGCGGGAGGCTGCTCTCCTCTCACGAGTCTCACGACGCTCGTGTCGTCGTCTATAGGTTAAGTCGGGAGGAGGACGAGTGCGTTTGGAAAACGATGAAAATGTCAACTTCTCTTGCCTCTGATGGAATACAAGTATCGTGTTTCGTGTCGCGTGTGATTTTTTAATCTGGTATCCGATTTAATGTCGAAAGGAGAGAAAATTGGACATTGGACGTATCGTGTCTTTGATCTTTTCCGAGGTTCGAGTAACGTCCCCTTGTCGTTTAATTAAAAGTGTAGGAAATTCACGCGATTGCAAGATAGCCCGTTTATTTGTCAGTTGAACGCGCAGCGTATCTTACGTTTGTGTCTGTCCGTTTCAGCAAGCCTAAAGAGCCTGAGAAGAGCTGGAGATGGAGATGGAGAGGGCCGAGGAAGAGAAGGCTGTTCCCTCCTCTGTGACTTCTGTGACCTCTATGACTCAGTGCTACGAAAATTACATTATAGTCGACGTGGGTGCCAATCTAACGAATAAAAAGTATAGCCGGGACTTGGATAGCGTGATACAAAGGGCGAAGGACGCCGGGGTGCAAAAGATCATGGTAACCGGCGCCAGCATTCGCTCCAGCAAAGAGGCGCTCAGGCTAACCAGAATATATCCCGGGACGCTCTATTCGACCGCCGGCGTGCACCCGCACGACGCCAAGTCCTGGGAGGAACCGAACACCCTGCGCGAATTGGAGGGCATAGCCAGCAATCTGGAATGCGTCGCGATCGGAGAGTGCGGCCTGGACTACAGCCGCGACTTCTCCGCCCCGGAGGCGCAGCGCGCCGTGTTCCACAAGCAGATCGAATTAGCCTGCGCGTTGAACAAGCCGCTGGTGATACACGAGAGGGGCGCGCAGAAGGACTTGCTGGAGGTCCTCGACCAGTACAAGAACCGTCTGCCGGCCGTGTTGATTCACTCCTTCATCGGCACTGCCGAGGAGGCGCGGATCTACCTGGAGCGCGGCTTTTATCTCGGCATCACCGGCTACCTCTGCAAGGACAAGTCCGACAGCGGCGTCAGACAATTGCTGGAGGGAGGCCAAGCGCCGCTGGACAAGATCCTGGTGGAGACCGACGCGCCGTTCATGTATCCAAATACCAGAGCCAGTAAATTGCCCGTGCACGTCAAGGACGCCCTCACCGAGCGCTCCATGACATTTCTCCAGCGTTACTGCACCTTTCAACGTAACGAGCCATGTGCCTTGCCAGCTATTGTGGAAATGGTGGCGGCGTTTATGCGAACCACGCCGGAACAGGTTGCCCTGGCCACCGCTTTTAACGCTCTCAAATTATTCGGTTTGAGTCAATGATATTTCGAATAACAACACTTCGATCTCACAGTTCATTGTTGAATGCATAAAGATGGGTGCTAGTAGGTGCTATATGATCAATAACAAGCTTAGATGGGGCTTCGTCTCCGGAGCCATAACATATTTCTTTACAATGTTTTTCTTTTAATTGTAGAAAAGTTATACTCTCTACAATTTTTATATTTTATCAAATATTTTATCAGAGTAATTATTTTAATAATTGACTGCTTTGTAGGCTGCTAAAATTTATGACAATCTATCGATTGTCGTGTACGAGTCCGTAAGGAACGTACGACGGTGCAGATATTTCTTACCCATATCTGTGCAAACGTATACACGTGCGAAATATTTTTGTTATATCGAGGTTGCTTTTTTCCTCCAATGAAACGCTGCTTGTTCAGACAAACGAGTTTCTCTACGCCGAGATTAGAAACGCGCGTTTGTAAGAGATTTTAAAAATCAGATCGCGTGCCAGTTATCTAATTAAATTATACATAATGTATGTTCCTTTCTAGATTTTCTATATTTATCTCTTCCGTATTACAAGTTTATCCTAAAGAAAGTACAACTAAAATAAATATATATAGCAGCCAATAATTGTAAATACTGTAATTACTGTAAACTCTCGTTATATGTCACAGCATAATTTGTAATCTACAATAAAAAAGAACAGTTGGCCTTTGTATAAATTGTTTAAACTACGCATCTCGTATTCTTTATTCTCTCAAACGACTATATATAAGCAAATTATTTCTTATATATATTTTTTTAAATCATTTATACAGCTGTACAATTAATCATTGTAATGTACACTTGTCACGTTTGTATCGTACAAGATACATCTTCCTTGTTGAATATATTCGACGAGAATCCTACGCAAAATAATTTGTATATTAATTATAAAATGTTTCATTTTGTTAAGAATGCGTCATCTTCACATTTTAGCTTTATAGCTTGCATCAGATAAGGCAGCCTTTCGTATTCGGGCAGTTTTACCCAAGAACTAGAATTTATCGCGATTGCGGTGGTTTTCATTAACGCCTCCACGGATTTCATTTTCAATAGCCATGTACTCTTTATCCTCTGAGAATTCACGGCGTACGCAACGTCAGGTAAATTGAAGATGAGTATCCTAAAATTCAAGACACACGCTAATAACAGGCGATACAAATTGTCAATTGTAATACGTTAGATAAACCGAATGTATTCTTACATCTGACTCTCGTTTGGAGTTTGTATATCCTCGACGTATGTTTCATTATTTTCGTTAGATGTAACTGTGTTAATTGCAATGGGATATCCACCTTTCCTCATTACAATAACGTGATCTAAAGTGATAAGGTTTTAGACAAATTTTTCAAATGGCTAATCGCAGACATGAAAGGAATGGAAAAAAAAGGACTAGAAAAATTTATGGTGCACGATAGATTGTTGGAGGCAACTCTGGTTATCGTTCAAGTAGCACGTACAAATATCTGTACTAAATTAAAAGTTAAACAAGTGCTTTTTAATTTGACGAGTAAACATAGCCCTCCTTTCGTAAAACGTAAAAACACAAGACAAGACTTACTCTGTTCTTTACAAACTTACCAATGTAATGTCCAAGTTTCGTACTCAAGTCATTGTGAACGTACTGAGGACCACCCAGCGCTAGTTCCAATGCCGTCCTTAACGAAAATGTAGGAAGTAACGGAGTGAGCAACGTCTTGCGTATGCTTATAGCATGTTCAAGTAGATCTCTCAACGGCCAGGGTCCATCGTACATGGGGTACAGCGTCTTAACGCTTTGGTACAAAAGTAACAACTCCCTCAAATGAGTATGCATCATCGGTTCGTTACTTCTTACAATCTGGGAAAAGACTTTGCTGATTAAGCTCGGGCTATAACAATCTAATGCGATCAAATGCAGAGCAAATTTGATCATAGACTTGTTGAAAATTTTGTTCTCCACTTTATTCGCCAGTATCGCGTCTCGTATAACGTCCCAAAATACCGGCTTGTAATCGGCGTTAATTAACCCTTCCAAGAAAATGGATATTCTAAAATACGACGCGTCCTTTAGCAGATTCGGATTCTCAAAGCATTTCGCGGCTAAATATTCCAGCAAGGGTATATGCACGTAATTGAGCTCGTTCAAATATCTCAGCAGGTAGATACTGTCGTAAAAAGAGATCTCTGCAGACAATGCCGAGCTGACGAAAGCATCCACCAGCGCCTCATTGTAGAACCTGCTTCCGAATTCTTTGCTACAATAATAACACAACTTGTGGTCAACATCTCGCCGACACCAGGTAATGCCAGCAGGTACATATCAATACAAGTATCTTGTAAAAATGACGTACTTCCTTGCAACGACGAGTTTCTGGAGCGCCGTCATTATATCCATGACACTCAATTGTTTCACGTCCCTTATTAGAATCCTTTGAATATCGAACAGCAATTCAAAAGCTATCGGAGACAGATAAGAGGTGACGCACAGGCTGCAGAAGACGGACCAAACCGACCGTGCGTCGAAATGTTCGAACTTCTTCTGCAACAACTTGAATATCATATCTTGCACGTATGGATTATTGACATTGTTCTCGCTAATGAATCTCATTGACTGTGTCAGCATAAAAATATTATCCGGGTCTAATTTCGTAGGCAGCTGCGCCTCGAAGACGATGGGCAGCGCTATCAACAGAGCGTCCCTCAACGGCGTGCTATCCATTCTCTTTAGCGACACACTTATGTTGATTATATCATGGAGAGACGCCTGATTTACGTCCGCGCGAATCATTTGCAACAGCGACTGAGTTAGAAAGCAGGTGGATGGTATCTTGAAATATGCCAGCAGTCTCAGAGTGGTAATAATCTCATTTGTTTTCATATGTCTAACGTTCGAATTCAACACCTCCCACAGACGTGTGAAGCCTATATGCTGCTTGATACTCTTCAACTCTTCCTCCGTGTACTTTGAAGATTTAAACAGTGCATGTATTGTGTCGATAGCCTCGGATATACCCATATTTCTATAATTGTTCGCTGCCTTCTCTAATATCTCCATAGATTTTGGCGTCGTCTTAACGTCGGCAGACACATAATTTTTTTCTGTCGGCGACACGCAATCCTCGAGCCGTGTATGATCTGAGGAACGTTCTATTTAGTAATTAGTAGTTAGTGGTGGATTTCTCTCAAGTAGAAGGTAATGCATCGTCACGAATCAAGCAGTGCATAACGTGTACAATACATTTGCTTACCCGTCAAACCAGTGTTGTAAGTTCGCGATATCTTCTGTAACGCCTGCAGCGGTACTATATAATTCGATAGGACTGTCCAATTGCGCGTTTGCGGATACAATCGCAAAAGTCCCTTTAGAGTCCTGTTCATTCTACCGTGCGATAGAGCTATTGTGCGTCGCGATAGTAATAACAATTCTGAAAATTATGAAACATCAATTGCACATTTAGAAAGGGGCAGCTCCCTTGTCGTTGAGAAAGTGACCTACGTCGCTAAAATCAAGTCTCTCTCTCTAGGTCCTCCCTCTGATCAACTTTTTCCTATCTTTTACTCAATTAAGCTAGTATATGTACGTGCATACATACATGCAATTGTTAAGTCTGACGGTGAAAGCGAGAATGCAGTTCCAGTGCGGCGATAAAGAAAAAGAGGTGAATCGTAAATTTCGTAAATTCCTCGTAGACGCGAGAACGGAAATTTGGAAATATTACCCGAGACATCGCTGCGTTAATCTACCGCGTGAGTAACAACCGGCGCGCAATTCACCAGTGAACAACTATAGGTTAGAAGTTGTTCAAGTGTCGGGTTCTTTGCACTTACGCGGCTACCATTTATCCCTATTCATTTGGTACCTTGAAGAATTATTAACAATACCAGCTGCGCCACGGGCACAATACACAATTGGTCAACAGGACGATAAGTTGTTATTTTTAAATTGCGTACACATGCTGTATCGGGCCTTCCACTTAACATTGACGACATT